CACTGTAAGATTTACACAATATTACGTCGGCATCGTAAGATTTATGCAAGTTTACGCTAAATTAATTTCCTGATGAAAGGTACAATATGCAAGATCTTTACTTTTATCAAAACATTTAACAATATGTTTTTCTGACTATCTTCCATGATGCATGAGCCAAATATAGCAAAATATCCATCTTCCAAGGTTGAGGCTTTGCTGGTAAATTTTTTTTTTTTGAAAAATTGTTTTATAAAACTCATTAAAGAAACCCCAAAACATCAAAAAGCAACTCTCACGAGTATTAAGAGACACATGTAAAGGTCCCAAAAAAGGCACAAGGCAAGTGATCATGTCTGGGATTGGTGATAATTCTTTTAGGTTTAATTTCTGCACAATTAAACATCTAATATATAATTGACCTGGAAAATCTGCAGGAACTGCTATGAGAGAATGCTTAAGATAATTATTAATTTCTGTAAAGCTAAAAAAAATAGAAGATTATTAATTTATAAATAAAATAATTTTAATCATTATTTAAAATTAATAGCTCAACCTGAAAAAGATCTTAAGGCATTTTAGATAATCAGTAGTATTCTTTAAATTTTGTGGTAAGAAATCAATTAGTTTAGTGAATTTAAAGGAACGTTTTGAGTGTGATTCTATTAAATCAGCATCATATTAGAGAACTATCAATGAACCAATAAGGTCATCTTCATTTAAGTTTATCATATCAGTTACAAAGTTCCATTCCATTTTATTTTTATTGTAACTTTCACATACAATACTTTCAAATTTCATTATTAATAGGTTCTTTAACAAGCCTGCTTCAACTCCTTTTGGGTTGTGTATAACAGGAGAGAACGTCCTATATAAGGAATGAATTTTCACAATTGATTTCAATTTTTTTTATAGTTTAAAATACTTTTACAAGGGTATCACATAGCCCATTCTTGCAATAATCATGTGTAAATAATTACACAAATTTGAAGCTTTACACTTTGTTGTTATCATATCTTTTGAGTCCCTTTGAATCCCACAACTTTCATAATATGATTTACTTGAAGAAAAAATGTCTGAAATTAAACATTGCACAGAATGTAAAACCACTGAATCAGCTAAATTTCATCAACGAAAGGCAATAAATGGAAAGAAGCTGAGAACAACAACTTAGTGAAAGTAATGTGTTGTTTTATGTAACATTTGTTATATGAATTTTGTAGAAAATCTTTTAAAAAGAGAACCTAGGAGATAAAAACCACAGATGTGGAAGGGGAAGGGGAAGGGGAAGAGGTAAGTGAAAAGATTGATTGCTATAAGAAATAGAACCAAGCTTGAAGGAGTTTTTGACCAACTCTATTTAGCAGCTCGGCCATTTTTAGTGTTCATGTGTTATCTTCTTGTTTTAAATAATACAAAAATTAACTCTTTTAAGTTCAACCTTGCATTCTATTTAGACTCGGTAGATACAAGTCTTGGAGTAACTATAACATCAAGAGCATTAGATTGTAAAAAGAAGCAAGTTGCAGATGAACATGAGAAATGCACTTACAAAATATTCAAAATACATTCTTGTTGAATGTTGACAATTATCGTCCAGAGACAATCAGTATCCTTTAATTACTAAAATTTTATTACTTCTAGGAAACTATCTACAAACATTTTTTGCAAATACGTATAATGTGATTACACTAATTATACTAATTTGAATAATTGTAGTGTGCCCATGTTATCACAATCATTGTCTACAAAAGTGTCAATCTAAATGTTTGATATCTTCAAGTCGAAATCAAAAAAAAATGTCAACACACTAAAAGAAAGTATGATGAAAAATATTAAATGAAAATGAATTTATCAAAAATAACGAA